AAAGGATTAAATATTTATTTTTAAATTTTTTTAGTTATTTATACATTATTATATACAAATAAAAAATTTCTAATTAAAATTAATGAATATACACTCTCATTATGCATAATTAATCTTCTCTTTTAATTAAAGAAGTCTACAACAGTAAGTTTATTTCGGCTATTAATAGGATGACGTGGGAATTTTTGTGTTGTAGGTTTCCGATGAATCTGTAAAAATATTTCAAGCTGAGTTAATAGACTATATGAATATAATTATATTATTAGTTGTTCAGTGAGTATATTCCCATCATACTTCGACTCTATAGCCTTTCGAGTTTTCGTAACAATTTCATTTTCGATAATTACCTCTTGGAGGTTCTAGTAAGATTCAACCGTAATCGACCCTAAACAATTCAGTGAGATAAATAGTCTAGTTACTAGAATCTATTTTATTTGTTTCTATTGGCCCATTTATTTCTTTTCTACGTGTTGTAATAAATCTCCATATCCCTGGTAGTAAATCAAATATTACAAACCCAACATCGACACAAATGCGCGGTAAAGGTATCTAAAAATTAGTTTTTGGTGCTTATGTCGGTAACTTTTACAATAACTTTTTATTCTGTTGTAAAATTTGTAGCTATACTGTCATACATTACAACTTTTATTCATAAAAGTATAATAATAATATTAATAATAATCTGGCAGTAGGTACAAAATGCAAACCCATGAAAATACGCTCCTGAGAGTATGCTTGAGAATGACAACTGTAAGCTATACTGGGATCGCACTGTGCTCACAGACCAAACTGTAGCACATAATAGACCAAATCTCGTGCTAGGTAATAAACTAACCAGACAAACAACTCTAATCGATGTGGCGATACTTAACAACAATAATCTGCGTGTTAAGTACAACGAAAAGATCGCCAAGTACAGAGATCTGGAAGTACAAATAAGGAGACAATGTAGGATGGAAAGTACCAAGACGATACTTATTATTCTTTCTACCACTGGAGTCATGCAGAGTCAGATCATGCAGAAAGCTGTGCTACTTTCGACGTCCAGATTCGCGGGAAAATTTTTGGGAGATACACCGACGTACTAAGTCACCTAGAACTCGATAACATGGAAAGAGTCCCACCAGAACTCAATCCTTTTGATACCGTAGGTATCTGGGATGAGTGAATTTTCCCCTTAGAGGGAGTGTGAGCCGTATGGCTCACACTCCCTCTAAGGGAGGGTTGGGGGTAAGGTCTGGGATTGGAGGGAATGTGAGTCGTATGACTGGAATAATAATAATCTCCAGTCCAGTGTCTGTTTTTTAATTTAAAGGGTTTTTATGTTTGTTAATGTAATACATCTCTAGATGTATCACATTACAGATAGAAATAATCTACTTTTGTAGTTTACAGTTAAGTAACATATATTGTAATATACCTATTAAAACAAAATTTATAAATATTGAAAATAGCTAACATTCACGTTAATAATTCATCAAAGAATTATAATTCTTCTAACGTTTCTTTTATTGTTATTTTTATTTTTACATTTGAAGTAATTTTAGTAGTTATAATTTTTTTTATCGTATTGCTGTAACGAAAGTACATAAGACAATTTTATCATGACATTTATTACAAACTTCAATGTCAATTTTTATTTGTGAAATCTTTTAATTTCTGTAAAGTGTTTTTTAAATGTATTTGTACGCCATTTTTGTAATGTTGAAATTGTTTTACAGTTTACTCCTGATGAAGCTATCAAATAAATAGCGAAATATTCAGTTTCTTAGAAATTTTTATTAGAGACCACTTTACCTGATAATTCCTACGTATGTATAAATTATTATATATATATTATATATATATATATATATATATATATATATATATATAAATATATATATATATATATATATATATATATAAATATATATATATATATATATATATTATATATATATATATATATATATATATATATATATATATATATATATATATATATATATATAGTAAACTCTTAAATATTGGGGAAATCTGCAAAAAAAACTCTAATGTGTATCAATTATTTCACCTAACGTTTTCGCCAAAGAGAATTAATTTGGCTTCTTCAGGGCTGAAAGAGAATTAATTATAATTAGATACCATATATTATCTAATAAAAAACATTTACCTTACCGTAAAATTTTAGAAATGTCGAGTTATGATGTTAAAAAACTTTAGCTAGTAACAACATAGTGGTGTTTTTTTGTTACTATGTGCAAAAAAGTTTATTTGTTAACGTTGGAAATGTATGGTAGCTTTGAACTTAAAACGCAAAGGTTTACCCAAGGATAATCGAAAAACCCAATGTAACTACATTTAAAGGAAGTAATTCTTTGAATTGTCGGCAATAACTAAGTTTTTAATTGTTGTAAAGTTTGAATGTGAGCTTCTGTTTTCATAGAACGCAAGCGCCGAACAATTACAAGTAGTCTTTTGATATCTATGTCGTTAAGGTTCATTGGTAAAACCGATGAAGTTAGATCCCAGTCTGGGGAGATATTAGTTTAGAATTTTCTTAATTGAAATTCTTTTTTTAATTAGTATATTGTTCAAGTATTATTATAATAATATCTTATTGAGATGTATCTAAGAAAAGCAAGGGGATGTTATCTTTTTTTTGTTAATGAAAATTATTATTAAAGTAGGTTAGTTGTTAATAGATATATCAGTCAAGTTAGTTTTCTGTGATGTTGTATTGTTCTTGGTATCTGATTTAAGTAAGAAGTGGTATATATCGCTTAGATTCTTAATGTCACTCTTAACATCGATGGAAAATTCGTTAAGAAAAATATAAGACATTTTAATGAACTCTCTTTTAGATTTATTGTTCTCACGGTGGAGAATTGTAAGTATTCGTATAGTCCATGTGATGACCAGTGGAATGGACATGTTCGGCTAATGCACAGCGGTCAGGGTGAAGTCGAGAATCACTTTTGTGTAGTGTAATACGTGATTTCAATAATTGAGATGTTTGGCCGATGTAGGAATTGTTGCAAGAGAGGCATGGAATGTTGTAGACAATATTACTAAGCCTATCTATGGGAGTCTTATCTTTTATCTTCGAATAAAGATTATTAATTGTTAAGGCTGATCTACAAGCCACATTAAGTTTAATGTTATTATTATCATTCGAAAAGCTATTTTCAAAACTTTTTAGATCCTTGTTAACCCCGGAGTGATATCTCTGAAATAGGGTAATGAAAAATATTTATTGATAGGAGTATCCGAGACTGGGTTCCTACTTAAGACATCAGGATCAGCATTGTTAGTCACGATGGAAGGTGAAGTATCTTCGTTATGGATAGTGTTAAACAAAGTCGTATTTACTAATGGTGTTGGATAAGAGTTTGAAATAAAAAGTTTCAGAAGGATTTGTAGGTTTTTTGTATGAAATGATGGATCTGATAGTTTAATTACTCTATTTTTCATCTGTTTGATCAAGTTGACTTTGGTAGAGTTATTATGGTAAGAGTGGTAGTTAAGGTATCTACCAGAATGTGTTGGTTTTTGATACCAATCTATTTTAATGTTGTTGATTTCCCTAATCATCCTTATGTCGAGAAAGGGGACGGAACAATTACCATCTTCCCTCTCTATAGTGAACTGGATGTAGGGGTTATAAACTATTAAAGGTGTCTAATAGTTCATCTACCTTGTCATTGGGTATGGCCAAAATTATATCATCAACATATTTTTTTAGACATATTTTTATTATATGGTAGCTAATTATAATTTATTCTCTTTCAGCCCTGAAGAAGCCAAATTAATTCTCTTTGGTGAAAACGTTAGGTGAAATAATTGATACACATTAGAGTTTTTTTGCAGATTTCCCCAATATTTAAGAGTTTACTATTTAACTTATCTGCAAAGATTAAATTTCTTTTCTATATATATATATATTATATATATTATATATATATATATATATATATATATATATATAATATATTATATATGTATATATATATATATATATATCCTGATTCTTTGTGTATTATACAAATTGGCTGGAGATTTATATCTACATATATACATTCTATATCTATTTAATGTCAAAGGTATAAAGCATTGTATTTTAAACTTTGGTATAAAGAACACTACTTACGTTTAAATTTTATTTGCTTTCTTTTCTTTATTAAAAATCTACTACAGAATTATTGCCAAAAGATATAACTAAGCATTGAGAACTTGATATAACTAACTGCGATAAAAATCATCTTCATTTTTACTTTAAATTAAAAACGGTTATTTATTTGAACAGGATAATATAGTATTAACAGGATAAATCCATAATACAACAAAATATTCACAAATATGTAGCTTTATGTACCATACTTGGATAAGTCTATCTTTATCCGCGTATTTCTAGTATTATTCGATATTCATTTATATTGGCAAATAAAAGGAATATGTTATTTTATTGATTAAATTGAATAGGTTTCGCTTTATACTTTTTTAAAGCATCCTCAGTTCATTTGTAGGTTTTTTAGTTATTATAAAGACAACTAAACGGTTAGGTGCATGGTTACTTAACATTAAAACAAATGACTTAGCACAACTTAGCACGCTTCTATGCAAGTATGAGTATAATTTTTTTGGAAATTTTGTAAATATACAAGTTTTTAAATTTGATGTACTTTTTTCAAATCATTCAGGAAAAATGTTTTACGCCATTTTGTCTATATATAAAATTTATAGCAGTATTTAGATCGATCTTCTTTATTTAGGACGACCTGTGTAACTGCTTTCAAAGAATTTTTTAATCTAATTATACTGGGCTATAGTACCCAGTGCATTGTGTACAAAGCCACTTCATTCTGAGTTATCTTCTATGGTAAAAACAAAGTTCACTTGTTATCAATTACAACAACACTTGAGATTACTTAAAGACAATTGTTTTATTAAGTTTAGTAACAGTACACAAACAAGAATAAACATATAAATCAGATAAAATATAAGAAAAATACACATACCTTCTCAACTTGATCAATATTTACATATATTCCTGAAAGGACCTTTAAACATATCTTTGTTAATACTAAACCCAGCCATCTGACAATTTTTAAGTTTCTATCATATCCTATTTCATCCAATATGTCACGAACTTGTGCTTCTAATGTAGGTTTTGGGATATTATCGACCCTACTTATCTAAAAAAAAAAACAAATATTAAGAATTATTTTTATATGATAAAACAATATCTGTAGGTACAACAAAAGAACATGAATAGCAAAGGGCAAAAATATATTATTACGAAAGGAAGGAAATGTGGTCGGACCTATCCATAAATATACCATAAAATGTGAATACCAAGCATAAAACCTATAAGCGAGCAAAAATCAATGGAAAGGAAGTAATATTGAAATTTTATTGTTTCAAATGTTGTCGTATTATCTAATTAATATTAATAAAATTATAATATAAAAATAAAAATCTAATAAAAATCTAAATCAGCTACAATTAAATATAAAACAGATGACACTTGATTTTGACTGTGTATGTTTAAAGGAAACTTGGATTATTCGTGGGATATCTTTATTTCAAATAGATAATTATAACATTTTATACAATAAAGAAGATAGAAATAAAAATGATGGTGTCGTTGTATACATAAAAAAGAATTTACGATTTACGTGGAAGATTGTAAACATTAGTGTATGTAAGGGTAATTCATAACGGAGACCATCACATCATATCCTCGCCTAGATCATAGCAGTGACAGTGAACGCTCACATTTAAAATAATGCATTTATATTACCAGGCGATCGATAATCTGGTACGATCCTATGGTCGGAGCGAGGGTCGGCGCCTTGTTGCCGACCCTCGCCGCTGACTAAGGTATTAGAGATAACTATATTAGGTAAATATAATCAAAATACAATACATTAATTTACAGGCCACCATCGACAGATGAAGAGCATTTTCTTAGTGGTCTAGATAAATATTTAGAGATCACTAAAAATTTTGTTTGTTTATATCATGTTTTATTGGGTGATATTAATATTAATACCAAAAATATGGCACCAGAGTCTTCTGAGTATTTAAGTATATTGAGTGAACATAATTTTTTATCAATAATAAATAAAAATACTAGAGTTCAGGGCGATTCTCGAAGTTTTATAGACCACATTTTTGTAAAGAGTATGTTTTGTATGAATAATAATGCTGTATCCAATGTTCTGGATCTCTCCGTGGCTGATCATAAAGCAACATTTATAAGTTTTTCTTTTGAAAAAAATAAAATTGAATGCAGTTTAGGAAAATAATTAATTATGATGATTCTAAAAGAGATCTTAGTATTCAACATTGGGATCACTGTTCTGATATCAATAGCCCTAATGTTTTTTAAATAATTTTACTGACACTGCCATTTCATGAATCAATAAAAATACCAAAGAAATAAAGAAAAAAAATTGAGGAAAAAATCCGAAATATCTGGATGACAGATGGCTTAGTAAAAACGGTTAAAAAAAGCGCTTCACAGAAAATTTATAAAAAACCCAGATAACCTAACATTAAAAAGAGAATACAAAACTTAAATAAATTAAATTAGCTAATTACTGAGGTAAAAAAAAATATTTTCACATGGAAATTACAAAATATAAAAACAGTTCTAAAAGTCTGTGGAATGTTATTAAAAAATTGGATAACACCAGCACAAAAAGTAAAATTAATTCCATTTAAATCAAAATAATGAGCTAATCAGAATAATTAATGATAATCAGCATATTAGCAATATTCTTAATGATTATTTTTCTATGTTGGGTATATGCTTGCTAAAAATATTAAAATATTATCTTCTGAATCCTCCAAATAATACATGTCATATTATGTATATATAAAACCATTAATGAAATCAGAAGTTCAGAGTATTATTCATTGCCTAAAACCAAAAAAATCTTAGACAACATTTCCGCTGATCTGTTAAAGATAATTTGTAATTATGTTGTTGATCCAATAACTTATTTAATAAATAAAATATTTTAATATGGTATATGTCCTGAACTTTTTAAACAAGCTGTAATTATACCTATATTTAAAATAATTGATACAAAATTGGTGCAAAATTGTCTTATATCACTTATTACCAGTCTTGCAAAAATCTTTGAAAAGGCCTTAGCCAAATGAGTAAATCAATATCTTACAAAGATTAACCTGCTATCTCCAAACCAATTTGGTTTTAAGGAGGGATATTCCACTGATGCTATATTACTACTTCTACTACTGCTACTGATTATTTATATAAGATGCTGGATAACAGTTCACTTACTTTGGTGACATTTTTGGATCAAGCTAAGGTATTTGACACTGTTAGTCATTAGCAATTGTTAGGTGCTTTCAATGATCTTGGAATAAGGAGCGTTACCATATTTACTATTTCAAAATTATTTAAAAAATAGATGGCAAATTGTCAGAATTAATAACAAAGTAAGTGCTGAAAAAATCATTGAATATGGTGTGCTTCAAGGTACTGTTTTAAATCCTTTACTGTGTTTTATATATGTTAATGATCTAGCAGCAATGAAAATACATGGAAAGATTATTTGTTTTGCTGACGATACTTTACACTAGTGATTGTTGGAATAAACTTAAAACTTTAGCAGAAACAGAAACTATAAAGGTTCTAGAATGACTAAATAGGAAATTACTGACAGTTAATACTGATGAAACTTAATTCATACCATTTTCAATATACAAAATAATTTACCAGACTTCTTGGAATTACCTACCTAAATCTGAGTTATAACAACGGGAACATTAAAATAAATAGGAACAAATACATAAATAATTTATGCATTTATATTGCTTGTTACTTGAAGTGGGATTGATATGATATGTAAAACTCTAAGAATGTTACTATGCAGATTTAGATATTTCAGCAATATTCTTAATTTGTCTTCTTAAAGATAGTATACTATTCTTTATTAGTATTAGATTAGTTAGTAGTTAGACTTCTTCTTCCTATGCCGTCCCATTAACGGAGGTTGGCGACCACACTTTTAAAGCTTCGCTGTCTTTTGCAACATGGAATAATTCGTTACAGTCATGTTTGTCCAGTCTCGAATATTTCGCAGCCATGACTTCCTCTTTCTACCTATTCCTTTTTGCATCGACTCTACCCTGCATGATGACCTGCAGAAGACTATATTTATTATTTTTTAGTATGTGTCCAAGGTATGCAGTCTTGCGAACTTTTATCGTTCTCAACAATTTTTTGACTCGACCCATTCTTCTCAGCACTTCCTCATTGGTGACCTGGCAGTCCATGGGATTCTCAACATTCTCCGGTATATCCAAAGTTCAAAGGCTTCAATCTTTTTAAACTATTTACGCTTTTAGTGTCCATGTTTCTACCCCGTACAATAGTTGCGACCAGACGTAACATTCAACAAACCTCAGTCTCAGCGCAATATTCAGGATTTTGTCACAGAACAATTGTTTGAATTTTTAAGAACGCTGCCCTTGCCATTTCTATTCGTACCGGATCTCTTGGTCTGGATCTTAATTCTGTGTTGATGTAAGCTCCCAGATATTTATATTTTGTCACTCTCTCTATTTGCTGTCCACCAAGAGTTAGTTATTCTGCTTATACCTGCTTCTTTATCAGCAAGCAGGTATTTTTAATATTAAGACAGGTACGTTTTTTAAACATAATTTTGTTTACATACAAAAATAAACATGTATTAAAATCAATAGATCATACTTAGAGCACCAGAAGAAAAGTTCATGACTATGTCCAAATTACTAGTGCTTGTAAATCAATTGGAAACCACAATTTCACATATTTTATTCCTTATTTCTTACCCGAGATCTATAAAACCTAGATGAGAACGATCAACTCATTCAACTTAATTAAATTCATTTTTATAAAATTTCTTAAAAACACTGGATTAGAATTTTTGGATTGCGATCTTCTTTAATTAAATTCATCATTATAACTAAATACTGTACTATATATTTTGTAATAATATTTTATATTATCAACCTGATGGTAATGTAGAACAAATATTTGAGTAGTGTAAATGAGGGATTACACCCTGAGCACAACCTCTGGTTCATCAGGGAATTTCTTCTTTGTTTATTTGCTAACAACTATTTGTACAAAATATTTAACTTAGAATTAATCTGTAATTCTATTATATTGAACTATTATATTGTAACATTGTGCTATATTGTATAATGGGAAGTAAATAAACATTATTATGATTAGTTCTGTAACTATCATATTTTTCCAGGCTGGCTCTAACTTTGTTTAATAGAATTATGGAATGCCATAAGAAAAATGTAAATGTCTGTAAGCCCAAAAAATATATTGTTTAATAAATTTTAACAGATTTTGATGTAAGCAGGGGATGTAACTTAATGAGCTTAACCATAAGAGACATTACAGCACTTTTTGTAGAAAACGCAAAAATTCGATATATTTTTGGAGTCACTCGCAGTCCCTGAAAAGTGTTTTGCTGCCTGTAACCTAATGGCTTAGAATCATGCAAGATACTGTTGACTGTTACTGGCTCTTTGCTACAAGGTGTCAGGGGCGGCTCGTGATAGTACAAGATGGTGAGGCACACTACACTTAAGGAAAAATTATTATTATTATGGTTAGCTTCTCTTTGCTCCAGTCATACCCGGCTAAGGAGGCATTGCTCGCGCCAGCAAACAATGACTTGGCGTGAGAAGGACTTCTGACGATACGCGCGCGGATCAACAAAAGTCATCCTCACCTCAAAGCTCTCCTAAGCCCTCCTCCACCCTCCCTTATGTGCACTGAAGGTGCAACATAAGGGCTGACTGCTTTTTGAAAAAGTCCGCGATTGAGCTGTATTTATGAGCACCATGTGTAATAGGGTGCTCATAAATGTAACTTAAATGATACCCAAGGTGTCGTTAAGCGACTTACTCCGGTTTATCATGAAATCTCGTATCGTGAGATAAAAGCGAACGAAAAACGAGGGAGCTCTAATCCTCGAGCCTGCACCTTGGTTAGCGGCCAAGTTGTAGCCTCAAGGATCTAGGTGGCCTCTCCCGTGGCCTTTTTTTATTTTTATAATTTTTTTGTGAATTTTTTATTATTTTATATTTTTTTTGAATCTTTATATTTTTTATTAATTTTTTTGGGATTTTTATATTTTTTTGGGGGTTAGTAGGT